AGCTCTGGTTCCGAATCGAGTGCTTGTTGTTCTAGGAGATCGAGAAGAGGAAGTCCGTGCTCCTAGAGGAGTAGGCCCCGTAGTAGTTGCTTTTGCACGAAACGCTGCTGTACCCGCCCGCGATGACGCCGTTCTCGTACCGCCAGATCGTGACCGAGGCCCATCGCGCTGTCCCAGCGCCTGTGGAAGGTGTAGGCACGAAAACCCTGGTCGGTCGTACAGTTGCAGAGCGTCGCAAACTGCGCGTCTACGCCTCAGAAGGCGATGACCTCCACGAAAGGATGGTAAAGCAGCGCCGGCGGTGACAGAGGCAAAGAGGAGGGAGGCGACGGCGAATTCGACGGTGGCGGCGGTAGCGTCGGCGCGAACGGTGGCGGTGGGGACGGAAGTGGCGTCGGAAACGGAGGCAGGGTCGGCGAGGGCGGTGGTGGCGGTGGCGATGGGGGCGGGGGCGGGGAAGGTGACGGTGGCGGTGGTGGTGGCGACGGTGGCGACGGTGGCGACGGCGACGGCGGTGGTGGCAAAGGTGGAAACGGAGGTGGCGACAAGTACCGCGCGCCAACCCAGACCTCGAGCTGGTCGATTTGCCAGCTCGAGGCACCTCCGCCAGTGAAGTCGTCGGCGCACTCCGCCGAGCCGGCTGTTCCAACGCGGCACTCGTATGCATTACCGAGCCTGCAGTAGCCAGTCCGCATGTTCGACGAGAGGTAGAAGTCGCCGTTGCCAAATTTCGGGCCGTAGTCGCGATCGTTGTCAATGGCGTAGCTCGGGTTCCGAATCGAGTGCTTGTGGTTCTTGGAGATCGAGAAGAGGAAGGCCGTGCTGCTGGACGAGTAGGCGCCGTAGTAGCCGCAGGTGGCCCACCAGCCGCAGGAGTAGGGGCTCGCCCACGAAGCGCTGCTGTAGCCGCCCGCGATGACGCCGTTCTCGTACCGCCAGATCGTGACCGAGGCCCCTCGCCGGTCGCAGCGGCTGTGGAAGGTGGAGGCGCTGAAGCCGTGGTCGGCCGTGGAGTAGCAGAGCGTCGCGAACTGCGCGTCTGCGCCCCAGGCGGCGATGACCTCGACGAAGGGCGGGTAAAGCAACGGTGGCGGTGACGGGGGCGGAGGGGGTGGTGGGCGCGGAGGCGGCAGCGGTGGCGGCGGTGGCGGCGGTGGCAGCGGAGACGGAGGGATTAGAGGAGACGGAGGCGGTGAAGGTGGCGGCGGCGGCGGAGGAGCAGTCGGGCGCGGTGGCGGGGTTGGGGGTGGTGAAGGTGGTGACGGGGGCGGCGGGGTAGGTGGCGATGGGGGTGGAGGCGGTGGATGTGGGGGACGTCGAGGTGGAGGAAGGCTGGGTGGCGGCGTCAGAGGCGGCGGCGGTGGCGACGGAGATGGGGGGGGAGGTGGTGGGGGCAACGGTGATGGAGGGGGCAGCAGAGGGGAGGGGGGTGCCAACACCAAGTCGTAGTTCGTCCAGGAGCCGCCGCACCAGGCGTACCAGGAGTTCGTACCAAGTGGCGGCGAGGATGAATCGCCAGATTTGATGTACGCCAAGAAGACACACTTTCCGTCCTCGTCAAGGTCGATCGATTCGGTGATGCTCGGCGCCTCGTCGTCCACGATCCAGCTCGCGCTGAACCCGTTGCTATTGCAGACGGGGTCCCAGTACACGTAGTAGAGCGACGAGGTGTCGCGGAAGTAAGGCGCTCCCGTGGCGGTGTAGCCGACGGCGACATACTCGACGTTCTCCAGGGCTTGAAAAGAGCAGCCGCCCCCGGTAATCACAAACGGCGGCGGGAGCGGAAGCACTGGCGGCGGCGGCGGCGGAGGTGGGGTGCCTGGCAGCGCCGTTGCAGCACTGGCGAGCAACAACAGCACCGATATTCCGCTGCTCTGCGAATTCGGCCGCCAGCGGATGGAACAGAGGAGGAGGGCTAGGACAATGGGGAGGAGGAGGAGAAGGGACTCGACGTCGCGGAGCTCCTTGCCCGTCATCCCGGGCTTTGCGTAGGGCACAGCGGTGGACACGATCTTCTCGAGGCAGGCGAGGTCGTCGTCGGTTGCGCTCGAGCCCGCTCCGTCTGGCGGCGGCGGCAACGCCAGCGTCGGGGGGGGGGGGGGGGGGGGAAAGGGGGGGGGGGGGGGGGGGAGGCGGGAACCCGGTCAAGGCAGCTACAATCCCGCCGGTTTGTGGGGGGGGGGCGGGGCGGAGCGAAAATATGGGGCTGGAGTGCTGTCTTCTGGAGCACCCAAGGCCCCCCCTTTTTGGCCCCACAATTTTGCTAAGCCGGGGGGGACTTTGCCGCCCCCCCCCGAAGGGCCCCCAAAAATAAAATTGGGGACAAACCCCTTGGGCCCGTTCCCCGTCGCGCTTGGGGGGGGGAGCTCACTGAGGTGGGCGCGGGAGTGTTGAGGAGCGCCGCGGCGGGCGCACTTCAAGGCGCCGATGTCGTCGCCGATGGAGAAGAAGCCGTTCTGCGTCTTGACCGAGACGACGAGACTCGTTTCGTTGCACGCCGCCGCCACACCGCCAGGCGAGAGGCCGCCCACGTCGGCGCAAGTGATGCCGAGGCAGTCGTAGGTGCTCTCGAAGGCGGCCTTGACCGCCGCGAAGTCGGGGTACTCGCCCTGGTCGTACAGGCCGAACTTCATCTCATCGCTGATGATCTTGGCAGCGGCGACGTTGCACTCGTGGACGAGGGGCAGCACGGCCGCCGTGAAGACGGCGCCCTCCGCCGCGTTCTTCTGCGACCGACCCGTACCCACGTCATCATAGACCGGATCCGAGCCGACCTTGTACGCGTAGCGGAGCGGCACCATCTGCTTGATGATCGTGTCGACGATGGGGCGCACGGCGGAGCAGTTGCCGTCCATGAGGTACGCCTCGCCCGCGATGAACTCCGCGAGCAGCCCCTTGTTGACGTTCGACAGCCCCGTGCTCCCCGACTCGCAGGTGTCAAAGTTGGCGTACCGCTTCTCCGCGAGCAGGTAAACCGTCTTGCCGGCCGAGCTGCCACTTACGTTCGGGCCCTCGAGCGAGCCGGCGTAGAAGGCGACGCCCTCGTCAAACGAGTGTACCGGTTTGTACAGAGCGGTATTTGGGTCGAGGTCGGAGTCCGAGAACTCGTTGCAGTTCTCACCGTCCGGGCAGTGCTCGCAGTCGCGGATCACGTACATCCACACGTTCATGTACGCCGTCCCCTTCTTGACCGCTTCGATCCGCGCGGTGTCGCCGAGCGTGGCGAAGTCGTATGGGCCGTGCCGCCCGCTGCTGAAGGCCATGTTGGTGCCGACGAGGGCGGCGCTCACCCACTTGTCGGCGAAGTCAAAGTCCTCGTAGTCGTAGAAGGCCGAGAAGGTCTTGTACGGGCAGCCGACGCAGTCGTTGTACATCTTGCCCTCGGCGCTGGTGGAGAAGCCCTTCATGGTGCGGAGCCCGCTGGGGGCCTTGCCCGACAGCGAGTTCCCGCCGACGGCGTACCAGTCCTCGGCCAGGTCAAAGTTCGGAGTGCTTTCCCCGAGCGCCTCCTCCAGCGCCTGCTGGTCGAGGTCGAGGTTGGCGTGCTTGATCACGTCCGAGCCGGGGGTGTAGCCCGCGATGTCGGGCCAAGGTTTCCCATTCGACTGGGCGGGCGTGAGGAGCGACGCGACGATCGCGAGGTAGAGCTTCATCATGACCGCGTGAGTTGACTCTACGAGGGCAAGGGCGCGTGCGGTTGGGCGGGGGCGGGGTGGTTTGTGGCGAGGCGCAGGCAGGATGGGGGCGCGGCGCAGGGACTCCTCGGCCGGCCGTGGCCTCGCCTGCGAGCGGAGAGGGGCAGGCGGTGAGGGCACTCGAGCGACGCCAAGCCGCAGGACGCAGTGTGGCGCGCAGAGACGGCGCGCCGCCGGCGAGGGTGTGGATCGGGCCATCGGGGCGGCGGCGCGCATGCATCGGCGTGGCGGGAGCGGGCGGGCGGGGGCGGGAAACGCGGGCGGGACGCGGACGTCGCCCACCTGACAGGGCCTTGATCCTGCTGGAAAACGCGACAACAAAGTCGGCGGCGCAACTCGGTGACCAAAAGGTTGCCTTCGAAGTGTTTCGACGGGTCTCCCTATGGCGCTTTGCGCTGGTCTATGAGAGGTTGCAAAGCTCCCTCGCACAACACTGGGCACGGGACTGGCGCGCACTGGCACTAACTAACACAGGTACACCACGGGAGCCGCCTAAGCGACTCCTGCGAGGGTGGCGAGGCACTTAGCTCCGTGTGCACCCGCCCACCCCCGCCACAGGCAAGCTCATTCACGACATGCTCTGCGATGGCCGTGTGAAGAACGACTGAGATGCGCTGCTTCTGCAGCCCCAGCCAGCTCTTGGTGGTCCAAGTCACCTCATCGAGGTACTGGGCCCGCGTCAGCTTGTTCTGTAGCACGTCCGCCGCCTTCCGGAGGATCTCACGGACCCCCTTTCCGAACCCGCCGAACGATTCGAACAGCAGCAGCTGCACTTCGACGCCCTTGTCTTCCCTGGCGTAGCGATAGTCCCCGCCGTAGGACGGTATGCGGCGGTCGCCGCCCACCACCCTGCCCCCCCTGGTATGCCAGCGCCCAGTCCCTTGCCCTCTCTCGCCCTTGCTCTTCCTCTCCCCCTCCATGCCGCCCCCCC